GAAGAAGAAGAAGAAGAAGAAGAAGAAGAAGAAGAAGAAGAAGAAGAAGAAGAAGAAGAAGAAGAAGAAGAAGAAGAAGAAGAAGAAGAAGATATGTTGAAGTCCTAACCCCCAGAATCTCAGAATGTGAACGTATTGGGAATAAGATTATTGTGGGTGGAACTAGTTAAGAGATGAGGTCATGCTGAAGAAGGGTAGGCCCCTAATCCAATGTGATTGGTGCCCTTGTAAGAATGCCACTATGTGAAGACAATACACAGGGAGGATGTTCTGGCACTATGAAGGCAGGGACTGGGGGGATGCAGCTGCAAGCCAAGGAACTGCAAGGATTTCCAGTGACCCTCCAGCACCTGGAAAGAGATGAGGATGGACCCTCACTCAGGGCTTCCAAGAGTGGAGGGCCCTGTTGACACCTTCACTTCTGATGTCTGGCCTCCAGCACTGTGAGGTGAGAAATCTGTTCTTTTAAGCCAGCCACCCTGTTTGTATTAAGCGGTTACAGCAGCCCTGGGGATGAATGCAAAGATGGCCAAGGCTTCAAACCAGAACAGGAGGAGAATCCACTTTAAGCTTGGTGGCTGACTGCAAGAGCAGCTCCAAGGGAGTAAAGGGAGGCTTCTGTTTGACCGTCCCATGGGCGCTTTCACGGTGGCACTGAAATGCTTCGATCACTGCTGCCACACAGCATAGGTCCTGTGCTCATAACCACCCCCTCAGGGACAATGACACCAGGCAGCTTGCAGCAATCATAGGGAGATTGAAGAATCTAGACTGATGACTTTATTGAGCTGTTGAATCAACAAACTCTGAAACCACCTACCTCTCTGCTCTTATAGATGAGAAACAATTTTTTATTGTTCAAATTATTTTGCACATGCTCATCTGCTAAATGCATACTTTCAACGCTAAACTTTTCTCTTTCCCTCTTGTGTTCCCTATAGTCACAGTACACTATGTACATATTTAGTTTATACAAAACTGTACTGATCTTAACTTTAGGTTAACACTTTCACTGTGCTAGACAATTTATTTCCCCAGAAATCTTGTCTCCAAGTACTAGCACACTAAGGGCACCCTGTAGAATCCTTCTCCTACAATGCTAGATTGATACCACTCTACCAGTATTTTTCAACTTTGGTGTGTTCAAGCGAAGCTCCAAGAGGAAATGCATGGGAAATGTTGACAATATGACAGCAGATTCAGGCTGCAGCTTTGAGCTGCCCCAGTGAACTCTGCATCTTGATTGCTCGTCAACATGTGATTATGGAATGGTCACATTCCATTAGCTACCCGCTTTGTACTAGAGCCTATTTGATTTAAAGATTGCAGCTAGTTACTCAAGCTTGTGAAATAAAAAAGGAAGTAAAAATGGAAAAAGAATAATGTGGTTCAATTTCTTAACAATAAAATAGGATCGAGGATCTTTCTGTCACATTTTAACAATAAAAGCATGGGTCTGCAATGGTTTATTCCACTGGCATTGGTATTGCACACATTGTTGCTACATTTACTCTGAATCCACTTATTCCAACAAACAGAAGGGAAAGTATGTCATGGTCAATACACTGTGTGGGCCATCACATGAGGACAGTGTTAATTTGAACCATTACTGATTATACTTTCAAGGATTGCACATGACCCAAAGCATTGGCCACAGTGGAGAATACAAGTGTTTGTTGAATTGAACTGAGAAACAGAAGCTTGTTCCTGTGAGCATCCCTATGGAGAATTATGGAGAAAAAGAGGTCCTTTTTGGAAAAAATGTGGGGATGGTAGAGGCCAAAGGTCCTGGAGCACACTGGCCAGAAGCACACATCCTGAGAATGCTGTCCAAAGTGGTCAGACAGCTGCTCCGGCACAGTGCCATCCAGGGCCTATGCTGTGAATTCTCTGCTCTTCTGTGTACCCACCGCAGCAGGCAGGATGTGACACTGCCTTTTCCCTGCTGAGAAGGGAACTACTTCCAAGCAATCTGGGTGACAGAAGCTCACCACAGGCCACCAAATTGCCACTATAGAAATACTCCACATATTTTATGCAATCCAGCTAAAATTAAAAAGTCATAAATACCTCCTAATAAATGTACAAAGCCCAAGGAAGGCTTCTCTTAATTGTATCTTGTTCTGAGAACAGGTTTGCTATGGACCGGAACAGGAACACCATTTTTCATGTTATGCCACCCAAGTATGAGTTGAGTGACCTCGATTGAATGATATTTCTTTCCTTTCAGAATAGATCAGCCAAAATCTACAGAGAAATTTGCTAATACCAGTGGGTGTGAAGCTCTCTTCAAACTGCCCTCCAAATCCATCTTATCCCTCTGGCTTCTTTACTAATACATCCATGCATACAACAGCTCTTCTTTGAGCACCTTCTCCTATCAAGCACTGTGCTGAGAGCTAGGCAGCACAAGTCCTTGCCAGAGCTTCCTGCCAAGCCAAGTCATAGTGAGCAGTGACAGTGAGCTAATACACAGTGTGAGGCTACAGTGGAAACTTAGACAGGAGCCTTGCCATTGACTGAGACTCAGGGAGACCTCCTGGGGGAGCTGGCATATGAAGATTAAGGAGGAATTTTCCAGAGCTCTGAGGGTCATTCCACCTGATGTAACAGTACACCAAGGTTTAGAGGAGTGACGTCTCAGAGGGTTTGGTGACTACCTGTTGTTCACTAATCTTGGGATATTAAGAACAGGTAAGTTGGGGAAAGGTGATCCCAAATGAGGCTGGACAGATTGATGAGGGAAGAGCTTTGTTCACCATCCAGAGGAGTTTCAACTCCATCTGACAGTGCTTCTCAAAATGGAGTTCATGAGATCCCTATGGAAACTTTGTATTTATTTGTTTTTGTTTCAGTGATCACTGTGTTACTATTAACAATAATAATGAAAGGAGTAAAAACATATTCCAGATCATCTGAATGCCCATTTAGCATATAATTTCAGGGTGCATGTTATGTTTATAATAAAGCTGGCACCCTGCCTACAGAGAGCAACAGCTGGAGGTCAGCAGAAAGCCATGAACTGAAACACAGCCAAGTAGTAGGAGGACGGGGTGACCACACACTTCCGGGTCGTGGGCATGCCAGATTCACAAGAGCCCAGGCTATCATGCCCTCAAACCAGATCACAGTGCAAAGGGCAACTGAGACTCACAGAACAATATCATTTGTCTCATTAAACGAAACCTGTTTACTTGACTATTACTGGCTCTGTAGTTTTTGCCTAATACATTTTCCCCTTTGGTTTTATAGTTCTATAAATATGTGATAAGAAATTTTATAGCTAGCTTCATTTTTTACACCTCCTCAAGGAATATTTAAATAAACATTGCAATCTTTGGGGATTTCTCCTTTAAAATGGGTTTGTCCATTTCCCAAGTTTAAGAGAAAACTGTAGATGAGAGGGAATCTTCGAGGGACTTGCAGCAGGTATTGGTGTGAAGCAGTAACTGTGTTGGGAGATCAGTCATAGAGAAGACTGTCCATGTGGACAGACTGGAGATGGAAAGACATCTAGTCTAGGAGGTGACTTCCCACATCCTCCTATTTAAAAACCTTTTTTTCTCCCGGAGCTGCTCTCAGGCAAAGGTCAGGGGCCTGTGGAACCAAATGCTGACCTGAGAAGAAAAATGCACTGGTGTTTCAGGGCATGTCTTATTTAGCCGAGAGGTTTCTCAAACTTCTACATGTGTCATTTCCCAGTGTTCAGTGATGAGGCCAGAAGCAAATTAGAACCAGACTCCATGTTTTTCTGCAGGAAGCCAACAAAGTATACAAGAGAAGTTGCTATCCCAGGATAAGCAGGAAACAACCAGGGCTGCTCTGCCCATTACAGCTAAATAAGGCTTGTTACTAAGCCAGGTGTCACTGGGGCTGTATCTTTCCAGAGAAGGTGACTTTCTCTAAATTAGACAAAACCTGTATGGCCTCGCCAAGCATAACCCTTGGAAGGACTGCATCTCCTGGAGGGACATCTTTTTCTAATTGCATGAAGGTATTCCACAGGGTACCTTCTTAATCCTGCTTTTTCTGAGATTAACTCTTACTAGCATCTCACCAAACTAGAATTCTTACAATTTAATGAGAACAAAGGCTTTTCATCTTGAAAGTTTTGGAGAGCATTTGACTTACCCATAAAAAGGAATAATGTAAAGGTACTCAACGAGTACAAAGAACCGGGTACTCGGCTGCCTCGCAAGCACAAGGACCCTAGTTCGATCCCCAGTACTAAAAAGAACCAGGTGTTGGGTACTGTACTGTATTCCGTGCTTACCTCAGGGGCCATCCAGAATGGGGTACCAACTGATGTGTTTCTCCGTAGGCGTGTGCTGGTGAGCTGAGCTGAGACCCCTGCAAGAAAAGGGTACTGGAATTCAGCAGTAAGCAGAAGGTGATGCCATATTAGGGTTGACAATTTTTCCCATAAAGGGCTAGATAGTAAATATTTAAGGCTCCATATGGTCATAGCTATTCAACTATGCTGTTGTAAGCTAAAGCTGCCATAGAAAACACATAGAGTAAAGCTGTACTGCAATAAAACTTTATTTAAGGATGCTGAAATCTGAACTTCATATAATGTTCACATCTCAATATATTCTTTTGGGGTTTTTCGATTATTCAAAATTTAAAAATCATTCTTAACTGGTGGCCCATACAAAAATAGGAGGTAGGTCATATGAGCCCCACTGTGCTGGAGCATTTATCATTCGATCAAACCACAAGAATTTTTCTAATGAATATTCTTATCCATATCATTGCAAACTGGGAGACAAAACAAAAGTATCAACAACTAGGATCAACCTAAAAAAATCTTCCTATTATATTTCCTAATTATTTGGGGTGATTCTTTTTAAATAAGGTACTTCCTTTTATGGAGGAAGAAGACTGGCATGCATTATCTATAATAGAGCATCAGTGTAGACATGAAAAGATTTTGGTATCTTATCTTGCCTAGAAGCCTGGGAATTTGGCAAAAAAACCTATTTTGTAAAATGGAAAAAGAAATTGACAGTAACATTATTATCTAAGATTTGATGTTGATGACCTGACTTTTAATATAATTCCAATGTCCTCTAACTAGCTGTTTCTCTATACCTTGAGGGAATACAGTGGAGGTAAAGATCCACTGGATTAGGGTCAGAGACTTGTTCTCCATACTAATTATGCCTTTTTCTAATGGGGTGGCCACCTGTCCTTTGAGCCGCAGTTTTCTCATCTTTAACTAGGGATCATAAAACCAAACTAGACACCAAACTTAAGACCAAACTAGAGATCAATTGTGCAATGCATGTATACTTGTAAGGTATTCCTTTTGCCAGGCAGAAGTCTAACATAGCCCTTCTACTAATGCAGTCATGGCATAGCCAGAAACCACCACAGCAACGGGGAGCATGCAGAATCCTGGGCCCTTCTCTGCTACTCATTAAAGGCATTATTTGTGTTTTCTTGTGGGATACTCAGGGACTTAAAAGCCCTTTTTTGCTCTAAACGATGACTCTCCCCTTGGGCCCACAGATGCCCAAAAGGTAACTAACAGCAGAATGAAGCTTGCTCTTCATTTTGTACCCTTTGTTACTGTAAATATTGGGTGTATTTCTTTTCAACTCTGCACAGGGTTATGTTGATCATTTAGGGAGTGTCTGTCTCAGAGATGGCCAGACAGGGTTGATAAGTCCTGAAATTGCATGATTTTGTCCCCCTTCAAGACTGAGGACACCAAATAAGAGGTTTACAGGAACAGTCAGCTATACCCAGAAGCCTCTAGCCACTGTCCTCAGCTTTTGATCACTTGGATTCCAGGAAAGGCAGGGCACCACATCACTGAGACCACAATAGATGGACAGTCTTTTCCTGGAAAGTAAGCAACCCTCAGCCCTGAGGATTCCAGAGCTATGACACCTGGTCTAAGGCGATAACTAGATTCTGGTCCACCAGCTACCCCCTGAAAGGTGGTCTTCCATCTTTGTGGGTGGGTCTGTCTGAATGCCTGTATCAGAGTGTGCCCCCTCCAACTACCTAAGCTGGAATCTTTTCCTATCTTACCCCTAACTTTCCAATTAAAGCTTTTTTCCTGTAAATTCGTGCTTTCATTTAAATTTCCATTTCTCTAAAGCAAAGACCCATGCTAGCTGGTGATACTATTGATGGCAAAAAACACAAAACACAGAAGCCTGAATACTTTGTGTGTTTGTTACTGAAGAACATCAGGCCTTGAGATCATCAGGCTGAATTTATCAAGGACACTTGGGATGATTGTTGTGTTAACTACCAGCATTCTCTTTATCAGAAAGATGGGGTCTCAAACTCCTGGGCTCAAGAAATCCTCCTATCTCAGTGTCCTGACTAACCAGGGCTATAAGCACCTGTTCCTGTACCCAGTATGAGACTTCTTTAAAAATACTCTATTTGCCACACATAATTTTCTGCCTTATCAAGTGCTCCACTACAGTTTTGGTAAAAACAACTATACCTTTCTGTTCTGAATTTCTAGAACCTTCTTTTGCAGCAACTAAATGTTTAGGAAACTTCTACTGGAAAGATTAGGAATGGTACCCACAAGCAAATCACAAAACTAGTGAATAGTTAAATCAGTATTAATCCATATCCTTAATGCTTCTAGGCTAGTTTCCCTCTCAACATATTTACTGCTTTTAGGACCATGTGGAAAATACATACAGCATATTACTGAAGCTATGGCATCCCTTACATTTGAAGAGGTGCATAAACCTTGAAAAAAGAGCGCCCTCTGCTATTTTTCTTTGCTTGTACCTTAGGAAACAGACCAATATGCATAGAGCAACTTCATTTATTTGTAAATAATTTCTTCTGCACAAGTGATTCACTGACACATTTTTATAACTAACACTTTCTTACCAATAAAACAATGAATATTCAACATCATTGGTCTTGGTTTCTTTTTTTTTTTCACCATGATGAAATCAACAATGTTTTGAGATGTTTCTCTAAATGTTTTCTCATTATTTGTAACAATAATTCTGAAGCACTAACTGGCACTGAATGGTTTAGATTAACCCATTTCATAAACCTAAAAGGAAAACCAAATTGTCTGTTGGATTGCAAATATCACTGTTCCAATTGTCTGGCCTCAGGTGACACTGAGTGCATTTCCTCTCACCTTTCCATTTCCTGTTAATATTTCCAGTTCAATCAGCCCCACATGTCGAAGCAATAATCACCATTTTAAGGGATGTTAGCTCCCAGGCCCAAAGGACTACTTTACCTTCTGCTCACTGGGAATAAGTATGCCTAAGGCTAGTGAAAGCCATTTAAAAGAGAAAACTGCCTTCTCTTTTCATATGCAAAAGAAGACATGACAAAATGTAAATTATAGACCTTTGTCCTGAGATGTGAAACTCTCACCAGACAACCAAAAAGGTTTTCTGTCAAGTTCTTCTTTTGCAACACTTCTATTTTCTATCTTTAATAAAATTGCTTCTAAAGCCAAAAATAGATTTACAAACAGCATGTCCTAGGGTGATCCATCTGGTAAGCCCCCAACTCCCCAGCCTACATTTGCCTGGAAAAGTCCCTAGCCTGTGGTGTAACACAGAGGCCCCAGTTTTCTGAAACTGCAATAAATTGTCCCCTTTGGCTAAATTGCACACATCAAGAAAACAAACGACATGCAGTCATTACCAAAGTCAACGAGTTTAACTCCTCCTTCTGTTGTCAGAAGAATGTTATTCCCTTTCACATCACGGTGGATGATTTGGTTGTTGTGCAAATGCTGAAGGCCCTGCATGGCATCCACCACCAGCACACAGCAGGAAAGAGAAAGAAACGGGAGATTGACACACTTATTTTAAAGCAATTACCCTACTGTTAGAAAGTCCAATCCAACTCCACATTTGGCTACACTTTCCTGCTATTAATTATGCTTGCATATTATGAGCCACTTTCCCCATCGTTAATATGCAATGAGGCCCCAAGCAGTGTACAAATCTCCCCCTCTGCTCTGGGCACCTCCAACTCCTTGGACGATGGACATTCTTACCAAGAGAGCTCCATACAAGATGTAAGAGATCACTGCTTCATCCAACCGCTGGCCATTCCTGAGGAGGCCTTTCACAAGGTCAGTGACGGAGCCCCCGTTACACAGCTGAAGGAGGGGGTGTCATGCCGAGAGAGGGAGCAGCAGAACACAAACCAAAAGAAAAGAAAAATAAAGAAAAAAGTTCACTGATTACTGACTAAACACAGTACATTTGCAGACCACAAACCTCCATCTTGAAATAATTAGACTTCAAATTTCCATTAGCCTGCCAAATCCAGCTGTTTTTGTGTGTGTACAGCCTTTATTCAAGGTGATGATTAGTAAAAGTACACACCCAAATAACTGACATTTTAATTGCCAAGTAAAATTGAAAAGCTTAAGTTATTATTTAGATATCTGAAAGAAAAGGCCCATCAGTAATCATGGTGATTCTTACTGGATCTTTTTCATTTTCATCTACAGTGGACCCTTGACATGAACTCAATTCATTCCCAAGGGCTAGTTGTAAGTCACGTTGGCCAGCTGAAGGCTCAGACTCCTCTACACAGCATTCAAAGTCTCTCTCCTGAATACAGGCAGATCTCCGTGTCCTTAGAGACACTGTCCCAGGACTTCTCAGTGAACCCCACACAGGAAAGGATGTTGTAATGTTCCTTCCAGAATTATTTAAGGGTTAAATCTGTATCTGAGACCATCTGGAAGCACAAGTGGTTGGCATTTGGGTTGTAACTCTAGACTTTGTTGTTAAAACTAAAATTCCACTCGTAACCCAAGTTGTTCATAGATCAGGCTGATCGTAACTCAAGGGTCCACTGTACTTTTTTTTCAAATGTGCATTTTGAGGATAAGAAAGGACCAGAAGAAGTAAGATGGATGCCCTTGATGCCTGACAGGGAATGGATTTCAATGACTTCAAACCTTCCTGCCTCCCATACCCACACTGCAGGCCTCAGAAGCCCAGCCAGTAGCACTTTCTAGAGTTGCCAATGTGTGTCAGGTTTATGGAGTGGGATTGTATCATAGGCATATGGTGTCTCCTATTCAGGTTTAGGCTTTTGGCTCTTTCTCTCTCCCTCCTACTCCCTCCTAGAAATTTAAAATACTGTAAGTGATTATATTTTGCATAGTTGTTCTTTGCTGTATAGTGTTTGTCACTGAAATGTGAGTCCATAAAGCAGGTATACGATACTTTCTCAGCAGTTTGAAGGTTGTCAAGGATAATTTTTACTAACTGCAGGAGACCCTGCTTTGGGTTTGCAATAAGCCATCTTAAATCCAGGGTTACTAAACTATTTGAGCAAGCATGAAAATATTCTGAAATCGCAGGCAGCATATTGTACATGCATCTTGAGTTTTTCTGGGGAGACAATCAAAGCATTCATCAGATTCTAAGAGCCATCCTTGACCTGATACAGGAAAAAAAACCCCAAAACAACCTGCTTAAAGACTTAGGTTACCTACGGGCACTTTTTCTGCAATTTGGGAAAATGTTAACTAGTGAACAGCAGGTGGTTCCCCAGGGTTTTTATTGTTTGAGTCAAGGGGCTGTCCTTACTCCAGGAAAACAGAAGCACAGATTAACATTTTTCCTAAAACAGACATCGCTTTAGAAAATCCTTTCCTACTTCTATGTCTTCAAGTGTTTTACCTATTTTGTCTTCCAGGAGGTTTAGGGTTTCTGTTTTAATGTTTAGGTCTTTGATCTATTTTGATTTTAATTTAGTATATGGTGAGAATTATGGGTCCTTCCATTCTTCTACAAATAGATAACCAGTTTTCCCAAACATCACTTGTTGAATAGCCTATCTTTCCTCCAACGTATGCTTTTGGCCCCTTTGTCAAAGATCAAATAGTTGAATATGTCTGGTGAGGTTTCTGTATCCTCGATTCTGTTTCATTGATCCATGTGTCTGTTTTTGTTCCACTACCGTGCTGTTTTTATCACTACTGCTTTGTAGTATACCTTAAAGTCTGGTGTTGCTATGCCTCCTGCTTTGCTTTTATTGCCCAAAATTACTTGTGATATTTGAGGTCTCTTTTGGTTCCATATGAATTTTAGGATTGTTTTCTCTAGATCTGTAAAGTATGCTGTTGCTATTTTGATTGGACTGCACTGAATCTGTATAACAGTTTTGGAAGTATGGCCACTTTGACAATACTGGTTCTACCTATACAGGAGCAGAGGACATCTTTACATTTTCTGATATCCTCTTCAGTCTCCTTATTCAGAGTACTGTAGTTTTCTTTGTAGAGGTCTTTCACTTCTTTGGTTAGCTTAATTCCTAGGTATTCATTTTTCTTGGAGCAACTGTGAATGGTACTGTTTTCATAATTTCCTTCTCATCCCATTCATTGTTGGTGTACACAAATGCTAATGATTTTTGTGTGCTGATCTTGTATCCTGCTACTTTGCTGAAATTGGTAATTAATTCTAAGAGTTTTTGGTGGAGAGTTTTGGGTCTTCCAAGTAAAGCATCATGTGATTATTGACAGCTAAGTCAGGTAAAACTATTATAGGCAGTCCGACAGGGCTAGGCACTCGAGGAAGTCAGTGCAGAGGATGAAAACACATTACAACTCTTGCTGAAGCCACATCTATTGAAAGCTAGGCCTCAAGATAAAGAAGGGATGACCAGGCCTACATGCCTCCCCAAGGGATAAGCAATATACTATAACTGGTATCACCTGGTCCAACAAAGTCTAGCTAGACATCAATCACCCAGGTGGGTGACCAGGACCTCCTGATTCATCTCTTCCTAAAAAGGTCTTTGATCTTTCCATGTAAACTTGCTACACGACCTGGTTCCCCATTGGATCGATATTACCTAAGGGGCTATACTTGTAACTTATTGGTTGACCATAGTTTTGTCCCACGTTGTACACACCTTGTGATTTTGCTCTATGAAATTTCCTTTGAAAGTGGACTCCTTGGCAACCCATTTTCGGGTCTCCTCCTATCTCTCAGGAGCTATCTCTCTCTCAATAAAATTTTCTTACTCTTACTTCTCCTGTTACTTAGAATTCATTCTTTGATTTTGGGCAAAACGAACTTGACATATCTGACATCTATCTAGCAGGTTGAGAGTTATTATTTCCCCTATATCAATGTCATCAGCAAAGAGTGATAATTTGAGTTCTACCTTTCATATATGTATCCCTTTCATTTCTTCCTCTTGCCTAATTGCTCTGGCTAATGTTTCAAGTACTATGTTGAACAGCAGAGAGGATAGTAGACATCCTTGTCTTGTTCCTGATTTTAGGGGGAATGTTTTTAGTTTTTCCCTATTTAGTATGATACTGGCTATTGTTTTGGCATAGATAGCCTTTATTATATTCAGGAATAGAGTTTCTATACCTGTTTTCTTCAGGGTTTTTATCTTGAAGGGGTGTTCAATTTTGTTAAAAGCCTTTTCTGCATTTATTGATATTATCACGTGGTTTTTGACCTTGCTTCTGCTTATTTGACATATTACATTTAGAGACTTATGTATGTTGAACTATCCTTGCATCTCTGGAGTGAAACTTACTTGATCATGGCATACCAGCTTTTTGATACTATGCTGCCTTCTATTTGCTAATATTTTGTTGAGGATTTTTGCATCTATGTTCATTAAAGAGATTGGCGTATAGTTGTCTTTTTCAATTGGGTCTTTATCTGGTTTTGTGCAGGAAATAGCAGCAAGAATCAACAAATGGAATTAAATCAGACTAAAAAGCTTCTTAACAACAAAAGATTCAATCAGTAGAGTGAAAAGACAACCTACAGAATGGAAAAAAACTTTGCCAGCTAATCCTCAGACAGAGAACTAATATCCAGAATATACAAAGAACTCAAAAAAATTAAACCATCTAAAATTAAAGACCCAGCTAAGAAATGGGCTAGAGAAATGAACAGATACTTCACAGAGGAATAAATCAGATGGTCAACAAATATATGAAAAATGTTCAACATCCCTGGCCATTTAATGCAAATTAAAACAATGGTAAGATTCCACCTTACTCTGGAAAGAATGAGAATCATTAGAAAATAAAACAATAACAAATGCTGATATGGCTGTGGTAAAAACAGAACCTTCCTTGGAATGCAAACTAGTGCAATTATTATGGAAATCAGTATGAAGCTTCCTCAAAGAATTGAAATTAGAAATTCCATACAACCCAGCTATCCCCCTGCTACGTATCTTCCCCAAAGAGCTTAAGTCATCATACTACAATGATACTTGCATAACAATGTTTATAGCAGCACATTCATAGTAGCTAAACCCTGTAAGCAGTCATATACCCATCGACAGATGACTGAATAAATAAAATGTGGTATCTGTATATAATGGAATACTACTCAGCTACAAAGAATGATAAATTTGAGACATTTGTAGGAAAATGAATGCACCCAGAAAACAAAATGTTGAGTGAAATAAATCAGACATATAAGCTTGAATACCATATGGTATCCCTCATTTGAGTGAGGCAAAGTACAAACAAAGAGAATGATCAAAGATGGATAGAAAAGGGACAAGGGGACAGATCTCATCCAATAGGGAAAAGGTCCAAGGAAACTCTGCTGAGAGAGGGATGAGGAGGAGGGGAAGAGGAAATAGGAGGAATAAAGATGTGCCACGTGCAGGATCCTAATAACTCCAATCAATGTAAACTGTATATGCCATAACATGTGCTAAGACAAATAGTATCAACAGGTATGAAAAAGGTGATTGAGGAACCAGAGGAGGAGAGGAGAGGGAGAGGGAAGGGGTAGGAGAAAAAAAATTCAAGCTGTAATATGTACATGTAAGCACTCCCCAAGATGACTGTAAGATGCATGATATATAAACATGCACTTATAAAATAAAATTTTAAAAACTAAAACAGACAACTCTTCACCAAGAAAATAATATGTTAGGAGCTACTGACTCTGTAACATTTTAATAAAGGCTGAACAAATGTTATTTGATGTGGTTACTATTCACTGGTATATACCTGGTAGATACCTTACACAACTTAACAATCAGGATACCCTGGAATGGAATTTGCCAAAGTTTTTATCACTTAAATTGCTCATAAGTCATGATATGGTGACTAAAAATGTAATATAAAATTAGGAAATTTTT